AGGGGGGGGGGGGGGGGGGGTCCAAGGGGGTCACGGGTCACAAATGACTTCACCCAGGTTCGTACACAACAACCGATTGTGCGGGAGGGGGGGGGGGGGAGGGGCACAATATACGGTTACGAGTTATTCGCACCCGTGTTGCAAGTCCTCACAAAAAGCGATTGTTCTGTTTGAAGTATTACGACAAGGTACGATCACGCGGAGCCCCCATAGCGGACAAATTCCTATATGGGACAGGCCGTTATTTGCCAACAACTACGGCTGCAGCGGCGATCCAAAATGTGGCCAACCTTCTAAAGCAAGTTAGGCATGTCTTGTCTTCTCTACAGCGTCGTGGTGCCATCAAAAGCTTGGACGGAAAATCGTGTTTTCGAGGTGTGAAGGGCGCTGAAGGCCAAATTCTGGAGGATCTTGCCGGAAAAATCTAAACAAAATTTGAAGTAGACTGCGGGGCGTGTTTGGTCGATATAGGCGGTAGAGTGGTTCGCTGGAACTACCCTCATAGTGGCGATCATAAATTGCACCGCCCCTCAACGCTACCTATGCCTACGTAATCCACTCTGGCGAAGTCTCGAGCGAGTTCGTCAACTGCTTCGCAGGTGCATACCGCAGCGTGAAGTTTGGTGCTGAGAGCTGCGAAACGGGCTTGAATCTACAGCTCTTCCACTTTTGATAGCACGGCATTTTCCAGGTTTAGAGCGAAACCAGGGCAAACCAAACGTCTGCGCGTGTAGAACATGACATGCTTGAGGTACCCTGCTGGTTTCATAGCATACCGGCACTAAACAGGGACCCTCTGTGTAGCGGTAAGGGTTGCCGTACATACCTCGTGGCCCTTGCCCAGTATGAGGTGGCCCTTCGCCGAGATCATGGGTCTAGCGTCCACGATGCGCAGCACCGCCGACGCTCGCCGCTCCCCCTCCTCTTCCTCCTCCTCCTTCTTACCGACAACAACAACGGCCGCAGGAGGGGCAGCAGCCGTCCCGGCGGCGACAGTAGTCGTAGCAGAGATAGACCCCAGGCTTGCCGGTACTGACAGCATGCGGGGTGGCCGCACCGGGGTAACCTTTGCCGCTCCGAGGCTGCTCCTGTTGGACCTGCGGCCGCTGCCACCGCCGCCGCCGCCGTCGGCCTGCGGTGAGACGCACGACGACAGGAGTCGCGGGGGACACTCAGCGGCCGAGGCGCCGGCGCCGTTGCCGGCAGCGGCAACGGCGGCGGGAGGGTGGAGTAGCGCCGAGCCGGCGAGGGAGGAAGGGCGGGAGGAAGGGTTCCCGGGGGCGGAGGAGACCGAATTCACCGACGACGACGCGATGCTACAGGTGTCATCGTCATCGTCATCGTCGTCGTCGTTGCCGTTGTTGATGCGGCCGTGGTCGAACGCCCTGTCCCAGTCGATGACCTGGGCGTCGTCACCACTGGCCCGCAGATTCCCGCCGCTTCGTCCCGCCGCTCCCGCGCCGCCGCCGTCGAGCCGCTGAACGGCATCGTCGCCGCCGCTGCGGAAGCTGGTGCGACCGCCGCTTGAGAAAAGAAAAGGGTGCAACCCACCGCTGCCCGTCGTGCTACCGCCGCTACCGTTATCGCCGCCGCCGCTGGTGCCGCTCCCGAACAGCTTGTCCGTCACCGGCGACAGGATGGGCGTCCTTCAGCTCGGCGGCGACGTCTGGCGGGAACGAGAGCACCGCAAGATGGTTTCCTTCGTCTCCCACGCGGGGGGTCAACAACAACAACCGGTTGCTGCCGTCTTCCGGGACCCCGTTGCCGCCGTCGCCGGTGCCTCTTCCGTCACCGGGGTCACCACCACACCGCCCTTGTTCCATCAACACCCTACCACCGCCACCGCTGCTGCTGCCATCGTCGTATTCCGTGGAACCCCCCCCCCCCCCGGGACGGAAACCTTTCTGCGATAACCCTCCGTCACCTCCGGCCATGATCGCAAACTGCCGGGGATCGTTGCCACTGACCGCCCCCGCCCCCGCCCCCGCCGGCCGCGGCGACAAAGGTTTGCGCGGCGGTTGCCGCCAGCAGCAGCAGCGTATTGTCGCCTTCCTCCTCCGACGGAGGCGCGGGCTCGCCGCCGTGCCCCTCCTCCGCGCCTCTCCTTGCAGCGGCGGCGGCGGCGGCGGCGGCGCGGGAGCAACAATCACAACGGCGCCGTTCTCTCTTGCTTGCCGCAGCGCGAGGAGGCTCCCCCGCGGCCGCGTCGGCTGCCGCTCTAATGGCCATGAGCAGCTGCTCGTCTTCCGGAGAGGAAGGGTTGATGCCGAGTCCCGTCATCGGCTGGCTGGAGCGGCAGAGGCCGGCTCCGGTGAGCGGGTGTAGCCAGGATAGCACCGGTATGCGGCAGCGACTCCGCCACTTCGAAGCCTAAGTGGCGATACACACAAATCAGGTTGGCGCGCCCCACGTTAGCGGTTAGAACCATTGACCAATGTCCTTCCTTCCTACTTTGCCAAAGGTGGCGGTTCAAAAATGATTTCCCTATTTTACCCTACTATCGATATCACTTCTTCCCGCCTTTTCAGCCCTCTTCATATGCCCTAGATTAGGTTGCGGGGAGAAAAAAAAAAATAGGTTGTGGGGAGAAAAAGGAAACAGGCGACATGCAGGATAATATCAATCAATGTCCCGAAGTCGGCAACAACTACGTGGCGGCAACCAACCAAACAACGACTCCGCAACGGCAACAAGCCGACGGCAACAAACACCGCTCACACATGTCTCAACGCCGTCAGAAAAAACAGGGGCTGCGGGAGGACAATACCGCAGGCACCGGTGGTGGTGCTAGACCCCAATGGCTAGGGGCCCGGGACGTCAGCGAAAGGTGATAAAAAAGTTAGGGCTTGGGAAGCATACGGCGTAAAAGCGAGTGCGCACGTAGGGGTGGGGCAGCTGGCAATTCGCAAGCACCAAGCTTGCCGTAAAGGCCTGAAGCGGTGACGCACACACACCATGAGACGAGATGGAGCGGAGGCTGTGGAAATCGGCCAGGCGCCAAAGCACGAATCAAGTTTGCAACAAAAACCTTACTCCTCAAACACACACACAAGACCTCTCGAGGATAGCGACTTTCGTGCTGGGGTAGAGTCGCCTCATTGTTGTTCTTCAAGAAAAAACGTCCTGAGAGCGGGACCGGGGGGGGCATGCCCTTAAACTCTTGTGACATTCTGCGGGGCACCATGCTTCTGGAAAAAAAAACATAGTGTCCAAATAGGCGAGGGACGACTTCAGCTCAACTCCCGTCTGCCCTCACCTTTCGGATACCCGCCTCGTCAAGGGCAGACGGCACCACGAGATACCGGCCGTAAGTCGGGCAGAGCCTGAAGCTCTTGTTCACGCCGCTGTAGGCCCACTCGGTCGACTGCACGCCAACGAAGGGGGCGACGTATGTTGCGTTGGGGGGGGGGGGCAACGAGCAACACGAAGAAGCCGTGGTAATGAGCTATTGTTCACACCGCTGTACGTCGATTGGACGACAACGGGGGGGGGGGCAACGTGGCAGTGTGCGTGGGCGGTGGTGTGGGTGTTTTTTTTTTTTATTATTATTAGCATCGACCGCGCTAACCGGCTGACCAATGAAAACACGTCAGTCTTAGTGCGGTTGAAAGCACAGAACACTCCTATCTGCCATGAACTGGGACCCCGTGAGGGGGCAGCATGGGGGAGACTACACTATCCTCCGGATCAAAGACAGAAACGGCAGCACCACAAGAACACTGCACGCGTCTACCAAGGCTGTGACCTTGCACTTGAGTTCGTTTTGGAGTGCTTTCACCATTATCTTCCTTGTTTATCACCACTATCCTTCTCATCATCCTGTTCACAGCAATCGTTTGGCAGTTCTTCCTCAGCCCTGCGTCTTTTGTTGTGGGGAAGGTCATCTGGCTCAAAGTTTAAGATGACCTTCCCCTCAGCAAAAGGCGCAGGGCTGGGGAAGAACTGCCAAACGATTGCTGTGAACAGGATGATGAGAAGGATAGTGGTGATAAACAAGGAAGATAATGGTGAAAGCACTCCAAAACGAACTCTCGAGTGCGAGGTAACAGCCTTGTGTGTGTGCATTGTGAGAGAGAACGAGCAACAAAAAGTACGCGTGATACTACGAGGCACACGCAGAGAGGACGTACCCCTACTCCTGCCTTTGTAACTAAAACATCGATACGTGCCACCATGCCGCACAGCCTACACACTTCGTGACACGCCGCAGAACCCCACACCGCAACTCTCCAAAATCAAAACGAAACAAGGCTTCATATATACCATACAAAAAAAAAAAGAGCGCCGCAAATAACGTCCTCACGCGGAGCCCGCTCCGTGGCCAGGCCAGAAGAACGACCGACAAGAAACTCAGGTCAAGCTTGTACGCCAGCCAGCTCTCAGGCGCACACCCCCCTTGTGCCGAATCACTCTGCAGCACGTACACGGTGGCGGTGCCGAAAAATGCTGGCGTTGGAACCGTCTCGTCGAGAGCTTTTGCATCCGAAAGCGGACCATCGACGTCGACGTCGTGGAGACGTCGAGTTGAACTCAGCCTACGGTATAACCTACGCAAGGGCCCTGGTGTTTACCCCCCTCCTGTGTAACCAACCCTGGATGGTTGCAGTTGCACGAAAAAATACACTGAAATGTGCCGTACTCTATTTTACATACACTGAAAAGTGTCGTACTGTACACGTCTCATCACGAAAAACGGGGGGACTGTCGCCAAAAATAAACAGGACGAACACACATACCCACCGATCGTCTGCCTATTCTGATTGTGTACCGGGACTCACGTCCTCGATCCCCTGCCGCCGGTGCTCCAGCGCCGGATGGTACCCGCTGGGGAAGCCCCTCGTGCACTCCGACGAATCGCACGTGGGCTCGCAGCCGTCGAGGAAAGCGTGCGTGTCCGGGTCTAGTCCGAGGGTTTCCCCTCGGGAGTCGAGGGAGGCGTTCACGCGACAGGTGTCCGACTGCACGTGTAGAGAGAAAAACGTAGCGGGGTGGACGGTTGTGTGTGTGTGTGTGTGCACATGGACGGCGGTGTGTGCATGCGTTAGCGGGCGTGCCCTGGGGAATCGAAGGAGGGGTTGGCGCAACAGGTGTCCCGACTGCACGTATACGGAGAAAACGTAGCGGGATGGACGTTGTGTGTGTACGCACGGACGGCGGTGGAACATTCGCGGTAACAAGACGCTTGACCGACCACGAATGTACAGAGCACTACAGATGGATGTCGTGTGCATGCCGACGGTAGCCTTTAAAAGGGTTCCATCCCTCAAACGAACGACCTCTGTTCGAGGCCACGATTCCTTCTTTCTGATAGCATTTGGCGTCGACAAATGACCGATCACGATGCGTCTAGGGCAGGAACAAGACGGGCGGAACATAGTGCGACGGGAATAAATAAAACGCTTCTGAAGACACCACGCTCCTCACCCGATCGCAAAGCACTGTCCAAAAAAAAGTTTTTGTTCACGCACCACACACCGCCAAACAAACTGGACGTGCGTTTTTTGCCGCACCTCTCCTATCTACGCCCCCTTCCCTCCAAACACAAGGAAGGATCACTACTATGATTGCGTCTGGTTCATCCTTGTCAAACGTAGCCTGGGCCGGCGCATCGCGCCGTCCCAGCATTGCAGGGATGCGAGGTCAACGGGTCTACCGACTACGGCATGCGGTTAGTCGAGAACACCCCCCCCCACCCCCCTCCATCATCCGGACCACCTTCGCAAGAAACTAAGTTTATGAGGAAATACAACAGGGGGGGGGGTTACGCAGACCCTATTCCGTAACCCAACTTCTCCCGATTGACATGCTTTTAACCACCACGTTTTCTTAACAACGAAAGCCCCTGTTGGAGTCTACTACTGCTCCGTCCATCTCTCTCTTACCGAGTGAGAAAAGTTGTCCTCCTCGATGAGCCAGGCGATCTCATCCTCGAACCTCCGCACCCCTTGTAGCAGCACGGCGTCGTCCGCACGCGTGGCTCCCCTCGCCACAGAAAAGTAGTACGTCCTCTTGTCGCGGCATTCGATCTGTCTCGAGGGTGAGGGGATACGCAGACCGCGCGGGGGCGCGCGCGGGGGGGGGGGTGGGTGGGCATACTATCATGCATGCCTTGGCTGGTAGACTATTGACCACGCGTCCTCGAGTGGACGGAGGCGGGGGGGGCGGGGGGGTGTACTCTCATGCTTTGCATGGCTTAGTTGTTAGACCATTGACCACGCGTCCTCGAGAAGACGGAGCTTTGCTCCCACCGGACCGATCACCGTGGGTGGGGTGTGTGGTGGTCCGCAATGCCGTAGGTTGCGCCTTACACCCCTCCTTCTCAGGACACCAGGTAAACGCACTCACGGAAAAATAAAAAAATAAAACGTGAACGCCATCCTGGGATACGCCGGAAGAACTTTGACGCAGAACAGCAAAGGGGGGTGTGACAATTGATTGCTGCATTAAGGCCACGATACCCACAGCCAACTCCGAAAACCATCCTCCTGTTCATAAGGCGTTCCGCGCCATGGGGGCGGCACTGACGGGGGTCGCGACTACAAGACCACGCGTGTACTCGCGAGCGTCGCAAATCTCAATTAGCGAGAGTTCGCGGCCAAATATTCTCTCGAGCCCCCCCCTAAGCTGCGACACGCGACGACCCACACGTTTGGCGCCCAAAAGGCTTTCGCCGGCAATAACGAAAACCATCGATGTTGTCCATCAACCCCCTTGCTAAACTCCATGTGAGCCATCAGTCACTACCAAAACGTCAAACGTCAAACGTACACAAAACACTTCTTTCATACCATGAAACCGACAAGGCGTCGTCCGAGCCTACCTGCACGCCAACCAGCCCCTCGCTCGGCCTCCGCCTAACTTTCGTGTCCACGATGTACGCCAGGGGTATCTCCACGAGTCTCCCCGCATCATCATCGCCGCCGCCCTCGTCTTTGGCTCTCCCCTCCCGCTCCCGCTCCCGCTCCCGCTCCCGCTCCCGCCGCCGCCGCCGCCGCCTCTCTACGAAAACCACCCGGTGGGTCGTTAGCGCCAGCGCGCCGTCGAGGGCCGGAGACGGGCCGCGGGCCCGACCACGCCCGCCGTCATCATCGTCATCGACACAACCGCCACCGCCGCCGGTATCTCTAGCGGAACCATCGACGCCCCCGTCCACTGCAGCAGCAGCAGCAGCAGCAGCAGCAGCAGCAGCAGCAGCAGCAGCGCCGCTTCCGGGACCTGCGTCACCACCAGCGCTAAGGCGGGGTGGACCGTTGGAGCCATCGTCGTCGTTGTTGCCGTGGAGGCGGTCCCCGGTTGCTGCCGCAGCCGGCGCCGCCGCAGGGCCGGACGACACAGCGGCTGAACCACCATCTTCGGCCGAGAAAGGCCCAGCGCGACAGGCTTCTCCCACGCTACTGCTACTAGCGCGCCCTCCCGTGCTCACCGCAACGCTGTTCGACGATGTCGGGGTGACCATGCCGCTAGCCGACGATAGCGCTCCCTTCAAGCCCCCCCCGATGCCCCACTGGTCTAGGCCCGCCGCCGCTGCTGTCGCAGCAGCGGCAACGGCGGCGCGAGGGTAGTAGGGAGAGGCGCCGCTACCGCCGCCGCCGCCGACTGGGGGCACGCTGCTCCCTCCGGCGGCGCCGGTCCGGCCACCATCTTGATGCCGCAGCCGCGCGTGGGAGAAGATTTCGATCACCTTTTTTGTTGTTGTCACCGGGCACGCATGAAAAGCAGCGTGAGGTAATACAAGTAGTGCGGGAGTCCGCGTGACTTGCACGTCCGCGAAAGAAAAGCAAGAGCAACGTGGCCTGTAGCGAAGGCTCCCTCTTCGGGAATCAACTTCGACGTATTCTCGATTCCTAAAAGAGCCTGAAAAATTGCCATTTTTGTCCCACGCTCCTATTTAATGTGGAAAGCGGTTGTGACTTAGTTTACTCGACAATCAATCCCACGTATGGTCTAAATATTGCTACCGCTGGCAACAGCAACACCGCAACACTTAGTAAACTCCAACCCGCTTTTTCTCTTTCACCCCGTCGCTCCTCACCCGCTCATTGAAGGGCACCACCACCCCTTGGCCGCCCACCCGAAAAAACAGGGACTCGTGCAACCTGCCCCCCCTGGGGAAAAACGCCTCCAGCTGCGGGTTGTCCGGCAACAACCGCTCCTCCCCCCATCTCTGTCCCCTCGCCCCCCCCCCCCCCCCCCCCCGGGGTAAAGGAGAACCCACAACCCCCCCCCCCGGCAAAAAACACCCCCAAAGGGGGGGGGCCAAAAACCCCCCCCCCAAGTTTCCCGACAGGAAAAAGGCCCCCCCCCCGGCCCCGGGGGCCCCCCCGGCCCCCACAAAAATTTGACAAAAGGTTTCCCCCCCCCAAGAAAAAAAAACCGGGGGGAGGGGCAGGAAAAAAAGGGGGGGGGGGGGGGGGGGGGAGACCCCCTTAAAAAAAAAAAAAAAAGGGGGGGCCTTCCTTATTTTTTTTCCCCCGCCCGGTAAAAAAAAAAAAAAAAGGGGGGGGGGGGGGGGGTCTCCCTTTTTTTTTTTGCCCCTTTGGGGTAATAAAAATAACCACCCTCCCCACCAAGACGAAGAAATATTTTCCACAGGAAAAAAACCCAGAGGGGGAGGCGCCCCCCCCCTAAAAAAGGGGCCATAAAATTTTTCCCCCCCCCTCAGGGGGGGGGGGGGGAGGCCAAAAAAAAAAAAAAA